GACCATCACGGCCGTCAAAAGGAAGTGATAGCCGAGGCTATTTGAGCCACTTCCCCGACGGCAACTCGGATGGTAATCTTGGGCATAGCATTTCACCAAATCACCTCATTCTTTGGGGCACACGTGAGGAACACAAATGCGAACAAGCCTGAATGGTCCCCAGGACATTATGCGAATGAAAACTCACACCCCAGAAGTGACTCGAACCCATACTCCCAGAAGCAACGCAACTGGTAACTACAGGGCGCCTTAATCCGCTTGACCATCACGGCCGTCAAAAGGAAGTGATAGCCGAGGCTATTTGAGCCACTTCCCCGACGGCAACTCGGATGGTAATCTTGGGCATAGCATTTCACCAAATCACCTCATTCTTTGGGGCACACGGGTGGACCCCAAGGCCGGGATGGTCAAGCGGATTAAGGCGCCCTGTAGTTACCAGTTGCGTTGCGTCTGGGCGTATGGGTGCGAGTCACTTCTGGGGTGTGAGTTTTCATTCGCATATAGTCCTGGGGACCATTCAGGCTTGTTCGCATTTGTGTTCCTCACGTGTGCCCCAAAGAATGAGGTGATTTGGTGAAATGCTATGCCCAAGATTACCATCCGAGTTGCCGTCGGGGAAGTGGCTCAAATAGCCTCGGCTATCACTTCCTTTTGACGGCCGTGATGGTCAAGCGGATTAAGGCGCCCTGTAGTTACCAGTTGCGTTGCTTCTGGGAGTATGGGTTCGAGTCACTTCTGGGGTGTGAGTTTTCATTCGCATAGAGTCCTGGGGACCATTCAGGCTTGTTCGCATTTGTGTTCCTCACGTGTGCCCCAAAGAATGAGGTGATTTGGTGAAATGCTATGCCCAAGATTACCATCCGAGTTGCCGTCGGGGAAGTGGCTCAAATAGCCTCGGCTATCACTTCCTTTTGACGGCCGTGATGGTCAAGCGGATTAAGGCGCCCTGTAGTTACCAGTTGCGTTGCTTCTGGGAGTATGGGTTCGAGTCACTTCTGGGGTGTGAGTTTTCATTCGCATATAGTCCTGGGGACCATTCAGGCTTGTTCGCATTTGTGTTCCTCACGTGTGCCCCAAAGAATGAGGTGATTTGGTGAAATGCTATGCCCAAGATTACCATCCGAGTTGCCGTCGGGGAAGTGGCTCAAATAGCCTCGGCTATCACTTCCTTTTGACGGCCGTGATGGTCAAGCGGATTAAGGCGCCCTGTAGTTACCAGTTGCGTTGCTTCTGGGAGTATGGGTTCGAGTCACTTCTGGGGTGTGAGTTTTCATTCATATATATATATATATATATATATATATATATATATATATATATATATATATATATATTTATATATATATATATATATATTTATATATATATATATATATATATATATATATATATATATATATATATATATATATATATATATATATATATATAGCTCTAGGTGATCCTTCGTTGACTAGAAAGATTATCAAAGTGATCTGCTGTGGCGCCTACGATCCTGGAGAACAAAGGCAGCTTAAGAACAAGAGAACGTTAAGAACTAAAGAGAGGGCAGAAGGCCTATATTGGCCTATACGATGCAAGTCTTTATAATGTTCACCTAAAATTCATTATATGTATTTGTTCACCTGCACTTGGAACACTCCAGCATACCCAGTGTGAATTTGTTCATTGTATATATATCGCATTATTGTGATTTGTCACGGTATCGACACTGTCGCTGGAGTGTGGAGTGGCGATTTCTGCGCCATCTATGGATCTGCACTCCAACTCACCGGTACTGGGTGCAACGCAGACAACGCCATCTGTTGGTGATGGCGTGGCATCCGTGAAAGGCTCCGGTTTCCTGCCTCGGTTAGAAAGTGACGTCGATGAGGATGACCATTGGTGGGTGGTGTATCGAGATCTACGCCATCTAGGTTGCGACTTCAATTATAATTTCAATTCCCCGGTGGAAGGGTGTTATCCTAAGGTCACCAAGTATACTGTCCTTCTAGCTAATGACGTTTTATGTTCACAGAGGTGACGTAAGGAGGAGATTGCGCTGAAAAGGGCAGTTCACCTTGGGCAGTCCAGAACTCTTGACTTGGTCCTGTGAGAGGACAAAGTGGCCGCCGTCGGTAGTAGCAGTGTGTTAGCTGCTGGATTTATGCAGTATTGTATGGACCGACGTACCTGGGATTTGGCCAAGATGAGTTACTAGACGACAGTGGTGCGTCTGTTGAGAAGTGCTGCTGGTGTCTTGCTAGAGGCTTCTGCCAGGGTGTTAGCTACCCCTGTATGTGATTATTTGAGACCCCTGTCAGCGTGTTGCTGAAGCCCCTCTGCCAGTGTGTTTCTGGAGAGTGTAGGAGGGGTATTGGCGCATCGTGACGATATGGTGTGCGATTACGGGCCCATGTTGAAGAAGGTGAACTCGCCGGTGTTTCCCAATAAGTGTGGACGACGTGTACCTGGAAAATAGATTCACCGGGATTGGATGAGCACTGCCGATGTATTGTGTCCTGAGTGAAAGCGACACTTTGTAAATATGTGTAGTAATTATTTAATATAATATATATACAGTGGTGCAGGTGTTTATATACTGGTGAAGGGGTGTGTATTGTTTATCCCCACTTTTTATTCTTTGCACTACTCCCTCCCCCAGACAGTTCTTGAAAACTTATCACCGACTTGGGGTTGGACGAAGAGGTTATAAGATTCATTAACAGCAAGAACCCGGTCACTGGCGCAAGATCCGGGTCATGTTACGAACGTAACATGATTTATGTGTGTACGCCCGGCTAGCTCAGTCGGTAGAGCACGAGACTCTTAATCTCGGGGTCGTGGGTTCGAGCCCCACGTTGGGCGTATCATTAGTGGCCTCGTAGCCTGGTGGATAGCGCGCAGGACTCGTAATTCTGTGGCGCGGGTTCGATTCCCGCACGAGGCAGAAACAAACGGGCAAAGTTTCTTTCACCCTAAATGCCCCTGTTACCTAGCAGTAAATAGGTACCTGGGAGTTAGTCAGCTGTCACGGGCTGCTTCCTGGGGGTGGAGGCCTGGTCGAGGACCGGGCCGCGGGGACACTAAAGCCCCGAAATCATCTCAAGATAACCTCAAGATAACGCCCCGTCTATTATGGAACCATCAATCCATCAATCAACTGTGTTGATCCGTCAATCAACAACCTCATTTACCCAAATCTTTTCCTTAATCTTACCTTATTCCACTTCAACCCCATTTTCTTTGATATTTTGAGTTGAAATTTTCATAAGAGTATTTACATACCTTTCTCATACTTTTACTTTCTTGTATATACTTCATTCATGGTGCCCCCTGTCTCCTCCTGAGCCTCAGTAGACTCCATAGTGCAGGAATGGTCGCCAGGGGCGGTGGAGGATCACCAGTGGCAGTGGAGGGTCATCAGGGGCGGTGGAGGGTCACCAGGAACCGTGGAGGGTCACCAGGGACCGTGGAGGGTCACCAGAGGCCGTGCAGGGGTCGAATTGTGTCATCACCAGCGACTGTTTAATCTTCCAGTTGTCTCAATTGATGGTAATGTATTGACAACCCGCCATGAAAACACATCCACAGAACAGTCCTGTAGATTCAGTCTTGGAGGAGTCCTGTAGACAGTCATGCAGCTCTTCTATACAGAACCATTCAACAATCCTCTAGACGCAACTATCAATCAGTCCTGCAGGTAGTCATAAAAGTCTTCTAAACTATCCACAATTTAGTCCTATACACATTCAACAGTCCAGTAGACACAATCATAAAACAGTCCTATGAACTATCCACAAAACCACTGTAAACCTCAACAAAAAGAAGTTAAGAAATACATGAAATAATTAGAAGTACTTAAGATGAAGTTGTTTCTGTAACACATAACTTGGGAGAGTTGAAAACAAAGATCATTGATGCACTTAACTATTCCAAGTGCGAGGAGATGAGTGCGAGCCCGTTTACGCTCAATTGTGTCCTGCTGACCCTTAAGTCTGTCCCACTGACCCCCTTAACTGTGTCCAACTGGCCCTTAAGTGTCTTCCGCCGACCCTTAACTGTGTGGAGGAGACGAAAGCTGCAAAAAATAGAACAATGCCTAATACAGAATGTGAGAGAAAGTATAGAAGAGAAAACGAAGAAGAGAAGAAGAGAAAAAGACAGAGGAAGAGGAAGAAGAGACACACGAGCAACAATGAAATGTGTCAGACCTCATAAGTTGGTGAGTGATGCTCACCAACAATGCAGGTCCCGTACATATGTTCTATTGCAAGATGTCCTCTTCACAGGAGGTCCTGTACACAGGAGGTCCTGCACACAGGCGGTCCTGTACACAGGAGGTCCTATACACAGGAGGTCCTGTACACAGGAGGTCCTGCACACAGGAGGTCCTGTACACAGGAGGTCCTGTACACAGGAGGTCCTGTACACAGGAGGTCCTGTACACAGGAGGTCTTGTACACAGGAGGTCCTGTACACAGGAGGTCCTGTACACAGGAGGTCCTGCACACAGGAGGTCCTGTACACAGGAGGTCCTGTACACAGGAGGTCTTGTACACAGGCGGTCCTGTACACAGGAGGTCCTGTACACAGGAGGTCCTGTACACAGGAGGTCCTGTACACAGGAGGTCCTGTACACAGGAGGTCCTGTACACAGGAGGTCCTGCACACAGGCGGTCCTGTACACAGGAGGTCCTGTACACAGGAGGTCTTGTACACAGGAGGTCCTGTACACAGGAGGTCCTGTACACAGGAGGTGAGAGCAGCTATGAAAGGTCCATAATAACCGTACAGGCAAAAGTACTACGATGCTCAAAGGAACTAACAAGGTTGAGGAAGTGACTGCCAGGCTCCGTGATGCCCCGAGGTGAGCCAGGCAAGTGAGCAGGAGTCTAGAGAGCGGCGCACACCACGCATGGCTGCCCAACGTTCACACACACGCACGCAAACACAAGAGCAGCAGCAGCAGCGTGGGGTAGATGGGTCTTCCACCTGCTCAGTGCTCGCCCAGCGGTGGTGTCGCGCGGATGTGCGTCTCTCACGCTCCTCCGCGCCTTCCTTGCTCTTGTCACGCCGCTCATGGTGTTACCTGTGGCCGATTTTGTAGTTCTGCACTACCAGCTGCGGCTTTCTGAGGCCTGGTTCCTCCCGAACTCTGTACCTCCATGTGTCGGCCAGCAATGATGACCATGAACCGTCTTTTGAAACCTGTATAAAACTTTTTTTGATCTTTGACTCTGGTTCGGATCCAAATGCCTTAAGACTAGAGACTCAAAACATGTAATAAAACTTCAAATTGAACCAGAAATACATTATATTTGCTTCCTGTTTAAATAAAAGTATTTATTTTACATAGAGAAGTGTTCAGTAGATATGTAGAAGTCAAAATCTTCCTCTCTCTGACTCATATTTCACGATAATCTTGACAGAGGCTGACTGTCACATTAGATAAACTGGCACGACATCTCAGGGGATAAGCATGAAGACAGTCCCTGTCCTCTCCAGCTGATGTCTCGGCCTCTTGGTCGGACTTTACATGTAAACAATAACAATTGAGTGAAGGAGGATTTAGCGTGTGGCGTTTGACGCTGTCAGCCTAGTGTCTGGAAACTTGCTTGGTGTCCGGAGCAACTCTTGGTGTCCGGAGCAACTCTTGGTGTACGGAGCAACACTTGGTGTCCGGAGCAACACTTGGTGTCCGGAGCAACACTTGGTGTACGGAGCAACTCTTGGTGTACGGAGCAACACTTGGTGTCCGGAGCAACACTTGGTGTACGGAGCAACACTTGGTGTACGGAGCAACACCTGGTGTACGGAGCAACACCTGGTGTCCGGAGCAACACCTGGTGTCCGGAGCAACACTTGGTGTACGGAGCAACTCTTGGTGTCCGGAGCAACACCTGGTGTCCGGAGCCACACCTGGTGTCTGGAGCAACAGTTCTGAGTCGCGGAGATATAATGAAGGTCCAGTGACGAGAAGAATCTTAACATATACGAGAGAAAAACTGAAAAAAACAAGAGTTAATAAACTAGTGATGAAATAAATAATTTCTGGCGTCACACTGGCGAGAAGCACCATTAGTCCCACTGACAGGTTCTGAACACGTGCCTGCGCCACCTGGCCAAGTGACAACTAAATTCCCAACACTTCAGGTGCCAACGGCCGCCAACAGATATTCGTGACTAAATATAAATGGTAGTGATATACAAATGTTATAACTATTTACTAGGGGCCCCCGTTGTGGCTATAGAGTCTACAGGTGTTATCCGCGCGCATATTTAGGGTGTTTATAGGCCCGCATATTAGGAAATAAACTTTATTCCAAGTGAAGCCTCTTCAAAACTAAACCTCGAACTGGAATTGTTTTGGTATCCGTGCTTCTCCTCTCTCTCTCTCTGTGGTGTGTTTTGGGACTCGTGTGAAGCACATGTAACTACACTCCTTGTCCTCCAGGGGGTGTACTCTGAGAGGTGTACTCACCACGAGTGCCAGGGAGGCCTACTAACTACCAGCCTCAAAACACCGAACGAGAATGCCAGGAGCGTTTGGCTCGGAGAAGGCCTGCAGCATCCACGTGTCCCAGGTAAGCCAAGCCTCCCTACCCCTCATTAGCCTCACCTCTCATCTTGGCAACCTTATTCATTAGCATCTTCTCTCACCTCTCATCTTGGTCACCTCACTCACTCCTGGTTACACATTATTTTTTACATTATATATTGTTTTTAATTGCATAATAATAATAATAATAATAATAATAATAATAATAATAATAATAATAATAATAATAATAATAAAGAGCAAATATGCATCTGAAAAAATATATTGACACAAAATAATGTGTAACTGGAGACATGTGTATATAGCCAAGTGATGTTTTCGTTAAATTGGTGTCATGAGTGTGTATATATATGTATATTATATACATGCGTCTGTATCTTTATACTTTATACATGTGAATGTGCCAGTATACTCTATGTATGTTTATGTACTCTGTATATTCTATACATGTGCATCTGTATTCTCTATTCATCTGTTTTTACCTGCGTACACGAAACAACTGTGTACACACATGTACAGCTGCATTATCCTGTACACACGTGTAGACACCTGTGCTTACTTTTCATCTGGGCTACACACCTGTAGCCGCAAATATGCCTCCTTAGAATAGACTTGTATCAGCAAGTCCGTATTTGTTTACAAATGTGTACACATGACACATGTGTACACATGACACATGTTTACACATGCACGCACACATATGAATAAACATACATACACAGATGAATATATTTATCCGTTCCTGTATCCGTATTTTGTATGAGAATCCGTGATATGTCCCCACTAACATGTCACCACTATAACATGTCACCACTATAACATGTCACCACTAACATGTCACCACTATAACATGTCACCACTATAACATGTCACCACTATAACATGTCACCACTATAACATGTCACCACTATAACATGTCACCACTATAACATGTCACCACTATAACATGTCACCACTATAACATGTCACCACTATAACATGTCACCACTAACATGTCACCACTAACATGTCACCACTATAACATGTCACCACTATAACATGTCACCACTATAACATGTCCCCACTAACATGTCACCACTATAACATGTCCCCACTAACATGTCACCGCTATAACATGTCACCACTATAACATGTCACCACTATAACATGTCACCACTATAACATGTCACCACTATAACATGTCACCACTAACATGTCCCCACTATAACATGTCACCACTATAACATGTCACCACTATAACATGTCACCACTATAACATGTCACCACTAACATGTCACCACTATAACATGTCACCACTGTAACATGTCCCCACTAACATGTCACCACTATAACATGTCACCACTATAACATGTCACCACTATAACATGTCCCCACTATAACATGTCACCACTAACATGTCACAACTATAACATGTCACCACTATAACATGTCACCACTATAACATGTCACCACTATAACATGTCACCACTATAACATGTCCCCACTATAACATGTCACCACTATAACATGTCACCACTATAACATGTCACCACTATAACATGTCACCACTATAACATGTCACCACTATAACATGTCACCACTATAACATGCCACCACTAACATTCATTAACTTTCAGAAGTTTCAATAGAAGTCAATTTCAGTTTTTTCTTTCAAATTTTTCTACAGCAACTTTGGCAGGTGTAAATTATTACCTAAGATCAGCCTTAGTAATGTATATGCCTTGTAAAACAATACCTTATATATGACCCTTATATTTCAGACAGAATTAAAAACAAATTTACTCCATCTAAGAACTAATTTCTATATCTGACTAACATATATGTGTCTAGCGATTAGACGAAATCCTTTTTTTTACTTAGAAATTCTCTATAAAAATGGTTGTGTACAACTTAGTCAAATGTTTTATAAGCGTCAAGAAACAATTTAAAAAATATCTGCCTTGTGAGTTGTATTGATAAATATTTTCAGACAACAAATAACTTTCTAACAACTTAAAATAATCCGTTTTGTATGCAAAGTGATAGTCAGAGGTATTTAGTTCACGAGTAAGAGTATTAATGAATGTATAGTCAAATACTTCGCTTAATAGTGTCTTTATGACAATAGTTTAATAGTGTGTTTATGACAATAGCTTTATAGTTATCAGAAGACACAGACACTCGGCAGTTCTTTACAATGGTAACCAGTACAGCGGTGTTTATAACTAATGGTTGAGTACTGTGGGAGAGAGTACATCCCTCTACCGTGGGAGAGAGTACATTCCTCTACCGTGGGAGAGAGTACATCCCTCTACCGTGGGAGAGAGTACATTCCTCTACCGTGGGAGAGAGTACATCCCTCTACCGTGGGAGAGAGTACATTCCTCTACCGTGGGAGAGAGTACATCCCTCTACCGTGGGAGAGAGTACATCCCTCTACCGTGGGAGAGAGTACATCCCTCTACCGTGGGAGAGAGTACATTCCTCTACCGTGGGAGAGAGTACATCCCTCTACCGTGGGAGAGAGTACATCCCTCTACCGTGGGAGAGAGCCAGTAATACACATTGAACGTTAAGGTTCCATGTTTAAGGTTAGCGTAGATGTTACAAGAGTCAGCATCCCCTCCCCCCCCTTCCCCTATACAAAATCTTAAACCTTTCTCAACAATTACAGGGATTACAGTGTGCTGGTGTTGAACATTATTGGCACGATGTCAACAGGTCTCACAGACTGCTGTATTTAGGCCATACATTGGCCTAAATACAGCAGTCTACGAGACTGCTGTATTGATGCATACATTGGTGCATACGTTGCATCGTTATAGATGGTAATAATTTTTTTTTAAATGTACATGTATTTCAGAGGCCCAGAGGAATCCCAGTGTTCATGATCATGTTTTTGGAAATTTGCATGTACAAATTTGGCCGGAAATTTCATAAAACTTATTTCTCGAAATTTTCTCACCGACCTTTGACCTTACAATATTATATTTATCTTTCGTAATCCTCTTAAGGGTTTAATGAAATTGAGCCCCTGGTGCTTCGTCTGATCTGGGCCAGTCATCTATCTCAGGGACACGCCACGCCTTGCCTCAAGTTACACTAAAAGATAGATCTATTAAAATTTCCCTAACGTGATCATTCTATCCCGGCATATCTCTTAAATTAGTGTTGAGAGGGTTACTCTCCCCCCCCCCCCTCTCTCTCTAACTAGCACTGATGTAAAAAAAATTAATAAAATTTAAATAAAAAATAATTGAGCTTGTTCTCATGCAAATTGCATTAAAGATTCTCGCATGCATTTGCATCAGCTGGAATTTGAATGTTATTAAATTATCCGATAAGCAGCTGCACTTAAACTTGTCCAGGGCAGCAACAGTGACCTTCTCTCACTGTAGATGTCTACGAGGGAGGAAACTCTAGTGCCAACAGCCTCTTACGAGTGAGGTACAGGTGAGGGAAGGAGTCTCTCACAGGAGGGAGCCAGGACAGGTCTCCACCACCACTCCTAGCCTTATACTCATTGATGCATTCAGTAAGATCATCATCAATGACAAAAACAATCAACGTGAGACCTCCTCCTCTCCCACCCCAAGTCAAAAACCAATATTTAATAACAACTTCCTCATTGACAGCAGGATTATGTAAATTTTCAGCATCCCTCCATGACCAACTACGTATAACTAGGCATGTTTCTTGGCAAAACAAAAATCGGGGTTAAAGCCAGCTACCACCACCATGAGGTTATTATCACGACAAGAACTCGCCATTTGAGATATTCCAACTAGCACATCTCCGCACACAGCTGCTGTGGCTGGTGAACTCAAACAGATGAGGCATGGACACACTTGTGATCAAATACTGCATTAGAGCATAACGGTAGAGCGCCCCTCATACCGTATTGATATCATAAACTTACACAGCATGTTTTATGTTACAAAATAGCAGTACAAGCAGTACATGATAGCAGTACAAGCAGTACTAGATATCAGTACAAGGTAGCAGTAAAAGATAGCAGTACAAACAGTACAAGATAGCAGTACAAGCAATACAAGATAGCAGTACAAGGTAGTAGTACAAGATATCAATACAAGATAACAGTACAAGCAGTACAAGATAGCAGTACAAACAGTACAAGCAGTACAAGATAGCAGTACAAACAGTACAAGCAGTACAAGAGAACAGTACAAGATAGCAGTACAAGCAGTACAAGCAGTACAAGATAGCAGTACAAGCAGTACAAGAAGTACAAGATAGCAGTAAAAGTACTCAGGTCGTCCAGGACCTGAGCCCTCACTGGAGATATCAATGCTTCCTGTGTACGAGGCCATCTACATTATTGGAAAGGTTTTCAAATTTTCATTAAAATGCAGCCATTACTTCCGCAGAATAAAAATATCACACATTCCAAGAAGCTTTTAAAAAAATCCATAAATTCTGGGCTCGAATATATCACAGTTGACAATAATGACATTAAAATCTTGTTAAATGTTTTCCATTTTTATTTTTGTTATTTCAGTTTTTTTTAACATTTCCCATAGTTTGAAGAACACATCAATATGGCAGAAATTACCAGAGAGAACAGCATTTGTGGCCGCTCTTGTTAATTAACATCAATCTTATAAGAAATTTACCTATTTTCATTCTTAGAAATTATATTTATTGAAATCAAAGTCTCCATTTATCTCAATGTAATTATTCAGCTTGCTAGTCTCAAGCTCAGAGGAGATATACACTAACATTGACCATCAAACATTTCCCTGGTTTCAAACATTACCATCGACACCTTTTTCTTTCCCAACCAAGGATGTCTGAGTAATTAGGGCCCATTTAATGTTTCTGACACGACAGTCATATTTCTAATATTTGTTTCGTCTCTTACGAAAAGTTCAACCAGAACCGAGTGATGCGAACAAACCTGTGTAACACAAGGCGTTCCCAGGCACCGCTCGCTATGTCAAGGCCATTCAGGAGATGGTTTAACCCCGCCTGTGTGATGGAAGAGGAGGAGTGTAGTGGCAGAGGAGAGGACTGGGTACATGCGCC